GCTCAGAAACATGACTCAACATATTCAACAAGCCAGTGGACTATCGAACAATAATGGTCCGACGGTGATATACGAAGACAATGCAGCATGTGTCGCTCAAACCAAAGAAGGATACATCAAGAGTGACAGAACTAAACATATCCCGCCAAAGTTATTCTTATATGCGCAAGAGCTTGAACGAAACAAACAAATCAAAGTTCAATACATCCGATCAAGCGATAATGCAGCAGATTTGTTTACAAAGGCGCTTCCGACGACAATATTTCGAAAGCACGTGCACAACATTGGAATGAGACATCATCGGGATTTGTACAGATGATAACTCGAGGGGGAGTATGTGCGGCTGTACTCTTTTTTCCTTATCTCGGTTTTTTCCCACAGGGTTTTTCCAGATAAGGTTTTTAACGAGGCAGCATAAACGCACATTTAATAGTGGTAATTCCAAGGGGGAGTATTGTAAATATATGTGGAATTAACCACTTATAATAGGTTTATCACTTTTATTATTTTATTATATTTAGTGTTGAAATGTGTGCCCCTTTGCCTATAAAAAGGGGCCAAAATGCATTGTGATGTTTGTACCGAAAAGTGAGAAGAAAAGAAAGATAAGCTTGTTGTGATTTATATCCGGTTCTTATACATTGTGTTCTTTATATTCTCGTATTTTATAACAAATGCTTAATAATATAAGTATTTATATTTATTTATATAGTATGACGGGTTCAGGTTGATCCACAATGTTGTTAAAATTAATGATAATTAAATTTTCTTAGACATATAGAATAGACAACAAGAAAAACAAAAATTGCCACTTGCCGATTTTAATAAATTAAATAAATTGACAACCTGAAGTACAGTTGGGGCATGTGACACTTGCTTTAATTTTCTCATCTTCCTATAAATAAAATAAATATTTATAAAAAAAATATATATATAATAATATTCATTGATCAGAGACATAAATTATAGAATCATGATTTTAAATTGTGAATTTGCCAGTTTGCAGAAAAAAAATAAATATAAAGAAAAATAAAAAAAAAGTAAGAAAATATATTTTAGGAAGATGTTACGATTCCGTTATATAATTATTCTGTCGGAGTATATAATCATTAGATCAACTATCTTTGACGGTGGAAAAAAATGAGACACATATTAAGATAAGAAGAAGAAGGCAAACACGTAATACGTAATGAAGCACATAAAAGGGGTACTGTTCAAAATCAAAACACTTGAAAACCTTTGTTTGCTAGAGGTTTCATGAAATTATTGGGTTCATTTAGGACACTTAAAAATAAAGTCATTCTCAACTACTTTAAAAGTATTAATAATAATCCTTTTAATTTTAATTAATGACTAATACTAATACCTATGTACAACATAGGTATTGAGTTAATGAATATATGTGTAAAGTTATTTATGTATAATACCGAACCTAACTCAAGAGCAAAAATAATATAAAAACAACATCACGAACCATAGATTTTCGCCATGTCAGCATCCGAAGCGTGAGAATCTGCCACCTAGGCTCAACACGTTTTGAATTAATATATAAAGAGGGATTGGTAATGAAGCTTTTTACCATCTTAACAAACCATGACTTTCTCATTAAACTAAGACTTGCTTAGCTTAGCAACGTTGGAGTTGTTGATTCCTTCTCCATGTAGTGAAGAATGGATTTTTTAAGATCTCAAGCACTAATGTAAAGAAAGAAACTTTTAGTTGAATGGGTGCAAATCTTTTAGTTTTGATGTGTCTAGTGTTTTTACAATAAATGAGTGTGATTTGACTCGGACTCAATTTGTTAAGGCTCGAATTTGGCTATACTCGTTTCGTAAAAGAGTCGAGCTCGAGCTCATTTAAAGTGTCGAGTTAGGCTTGGCTCTATAGGGCTTGAAAAAAAAAATATATTATATAATTTTTATATACTAGTCAACTTAAAATCTAATTTGAGTTTAAAATAAATTCAACCTTTACTTAATTTTTCTATATAATAAAATAATATCTCAATCATTGTAACACATAACATCACACACACATACACACGCATATATATTTATATAATTACTGTCGAAGTTCAATAAATTTTCTCCAACCAGTAAGTAGTAACTAGTAATAATAGTAGTCCATTTAATAAAAATGTGCTCATCGTTTAATAAAAGTATGTAACTTTCAGTTAAACGATTTATTTTGACATGTCCTATTTTATATGGTTCTCATTTCCGTAATGCATTTTTATGTCATGAAATACAAAATAATTTTATTTTTATTTTGAGTTATATATATTTTGGTATGATATAAATACATATTTAACGACTAAGTAAAAGTTACTACAAATATATTTATATTCTATTGCAATCATATAATAACAAATAAATATCTTTTCGGTTATTTCAAGAATACATTAAATATTTTGAAAAATCAAATCCCATGAAATAAAATCCTCCTCCAAAATGGTCCTCCAATATATTTAAATTTTTTAATATTATATGCATAAATATAACTTATAATACTCTATGGTTGAATTTTAATATCATTATCTAACTTATAATTTAATATTATATGCATATAAAATTTATAATATTTTATTTCTAATTGTGCAAATACACAAATGGATTACTAGTTTTTAACAAATTATCGTCTTCGATAATCATCTCTCATACCTTTTTTATAATATTAACTTAATTATATATTTTAAATATCATTTAAATACAAACTCAAAATCCAACTTAATCAATTTAAATCCTACTCAAAAATATGATTGGTGGTGACAATTGTGTTCCCTCAGCTTCAAAGCTATTGATAATGACAGGATCCAATTATCAATCTATCAGTTGCGGTGGTTGTGAAAATCCCGCAACCTTTGAGTTATTAATTACTGTTTAGCTATAGGTCTTCGGCTTTGTGTTGTCGCCTTTGGCTATTCGATGTATTTCCCGCAACCTTTGAGTTATTAATTACTGTTTAGCTATAGGTCTTCGGCTTTGTGTTGTCGCCTTTGGCTATTGTTGGTACTCGAACAATGGATTTCTTCTGTTTTTTTGCTATTTGAGATTCCTATCGTTCCGTAAAACTAGATAAATAAATAAATTCAATTAAAATCGATTTTATTTATGTTGATCACGCCATAAATATGCCACAAGTTGGATCAAATTGACCAAACCAAATAAATTACCCTCAAATGCAACAACAAATAGTTATTTCATTCATAAATGTCGGTTCGATAGATACAATCATACAATAATAACAATGTAAATGGAAAACCCAAAATTGGTTCCCAAGCATAGGAAGGAACCACAGCCAAATCAAAATCAAATTTGACAAATTTTGACCAATAAATTCTGTACAACTTTACCTAAATCAAATAACCCAAAAAAATTAAAAAAATAAAATAAAATCAAAACATATAACTAATATTCAACCAAACCACCCGAAAACCGTAAATGACGATCCTGCCCCTTCCACATATCGTACGGCTCCCACAGGTGATCCAACGGACACGGCCTCCCCTCGTCCAGACGCACCCACGGCTTCCCCTTCCCGCTCCAGTGCAGCAGGCTCACTGGACCAGGGTGCAGCGCCCTACAGGATCCCGCCACGTTGTCACCCCCCAGCCCGTGCTGGTTCCACCTGTGCCCGATGGGCTCCACGTCACCACCGAACACAAGCAGGAAGGGGGGCAGCGACCCCAGCTCGTACATCCGGTTCCTCCTCTGCAGTTCCATCCAATTCTC